GCTTGGAGAGGGAGGAGGGACCCGGAGGTCCCTGGCGTCGCACCTCCTTCCCTCCCCGCCCGGCGCCGTCGCCCCATGTCTCGGGCCGCGGGGCCCCCGCGGGTTTCGACCCCGCCGGAGACGGGCGCCGCAGAACTCTCCGGGGCCCCGGGGCCAGCAGGAGATCCTGCGGGAGCACGAGGCCCTCCGCCGGCCAGAGCACCCCCGAACCCCGAGATCGTTCGAGGGTGCACTCCCCCGCAAGGGTGCACAAGAGAGCGTGCAGAACGTCCCAGTGTAACCATCCTCCCCAGGATGCACAGGAGCATCCAACCAGCACGAAGAGCATCACAGTCGGGCCGCTGAAAGAAGGAACACGTCATAAGGAGCGAAGCCCCTTGTTGAGCCTAAGAACGCCTCTGTACCCGGGGAGGGCAGGAGCAACAGCAGTGGAGGAACCCATAAGGAACATCGAGCCCCCTTCCGAACCCCGACTGTGCCCGATTCCAGCGTCTCGACTCCGCAGGGCACTCTCCCCAGACCTCGATCTTCCGCCGCAGCCCGACCGCACGATGCTGCCATCTGTTTGCGACGTCGGAACCTTCAGGCCAGGGGGGGGGAGGCTCCGCGGCCCCCTCGGCCCGGCTGGGGGGCTCGACGATGGGCCCCCCCTCCACCCCCTCGCAGGAAGGGAGGGCCCCCTCGGTGCGCGGGAGGCCTCCTTCCCTACGAGAAGCCGCGGCTCTGGAGGATGTCTCGGGCGCCGTCGCCCTCTCAGAGCGTTGCGGAACGCTCCGAGAACGCCCCCAGAACACTGCGGAACGGACTCTGATCCTCGCCCCAGCCCCGTCCGTCCCCCTCCCCTCTCTCCGCTCAGAGCTGGGCGCGACCCCCGGGATGACGAACCGACCCCCATGGAAAAGGAGTCGAGATTCCTGAGGGGGCCCACTCTGCGACGTCGCCAAAGAGGATTCTGCGCCGCGCTCGGGGGCGGCCAATGGGGGTGGGCGTCCAAGAGGGGGGGGTGCAAACCATGGCGGGCGGCATGTGCGCGGCCCAATGGGGGGCCAGGGACGTAATGAAATAAGAAGAGACGCCATAAGATCTGGGGAAATGTCATGGCCCACGCCATGATATCCCCCCCCCAGTCATCACCCCCCTCTTGGCCGCCCCTGGCTCGCACAGGGGCGCGCTCCGGAGCCCAGGGTCCACCCGGGGAAGGAGCCGAGATCCCTGGGGGGGACCACTCTGCGACGTCGGGGGGAGAGGGCCTGAGGCCCTGCACTTCGAGGAGGGGGATCACAGAATCGATGCAGCCCAACCAGTTTCCCGTCGACTCTATCATTGTGGATGCCACGACAGTGGACACCCTAACAGTCCTATGATGTAAGAAAAATGGCCTGACAATGTTCAGAACATGTTTTAACATGTTTAAAACAGATTTAACACATATTTTAGACATCTGGAAATTATTTGGCAACATGCTTCCTCTCCTTTGGTCGTCCTCCACAACTCTATGAAACATGGGTGGAATGCGCTGTAGATGTAGATGGTCGAATGGACCTTTGTATGTCTTCCCCGTAAGAACTCGACGGGAAAATTCATTCTCGGGTACACCAGTTCTGTTGTCGCACTCCTATACTCGAGCACTTCTTGCCGGCGACTCCTGGAGGCCTTCGGGCAGGGGGATGCTACGCCTCGATCGCAAAAAGGGGCCTGCCCTGGAGCCCGGGATCCACCCGGGCGGCTCCGGATGGCGAACTGGCCCCAGGAAAGGGCCTTATGCTTTTTTCGGGCTCGCGAGTGATCCCGACGGCCCGGGAGGCCTCCGAGATGACTCCAGGACAGCCCCAGAGACCCCAAGATCGTTCTGCCGCGGTCCCGCAGCGCCCCACGACAGCCCAGGAGGCGCCCACGACCGCCCCACAGGGCCCCGCAAGAAGGCCTGAGGCCTTGCACTTCTTGCCCGCGAGCGACTCGGGCCGAGATCCCTGGGGGCCCACTCCGCGACGCCGGGGGGGAGAGATGGCCCGAGGCCGTGATCTGTGGCAACTCGTGGGAGCCTCCCACACCATCTTGTCGGCTCTCGCGAATCGACGCTAGCCGACGCTGAATCGACGCTGATCGACGCCAGATCGACGCTATAATCGACGCGAAAGCGGCGCTATCTCACCGACTCCCAGACGCCAATCGACGCGAATCGACGCTAAAGACGGAATTGAAATGGTATACCAGGTTCCCCTGATTTGCTACCGAAGCCTTGCACTTCTTCCAGGCGACTCCTGGAAGCGTTCGGGCCGCCACCCGAGCATCGACGCAAAGGAACGGGTCTTACAATCGGACCTGGGCCAGACGAGCATGCTCCAATCGGGGAGCTTCTGACCCGGGTCAATCCAGACCCAGGTCAGCCAGGTTGCAGGATCCTGCAAGATACCTGCACACAAACCAGAGTCGATGCAACCCTCGCTCTGCAGGATCCTGCAAGATCCAGCGCTCTGACTGACCCCCGTTTGCATTGACCCCCAGATTATCTTGAGAGCCCCGGCTTCAAGAGCATGAGACCTTCCTCCGACCAAAGCACCTCAAACCCTGAGATCGTTCGAGGGTGCACTCCCCCAGGATGCACAAGAGCATCCAACAATCACGAAGAGCATTGGGGTACCCTCCCCGAACCGACCTCGATCATACACCTTGGTCCGACTGTACGCGAGATGACATAGCGCCCTTAAGCGGTGGCTTACGCGGGCCGCCAGCGCGGCACGCCACATTGGACACGAGGGCACCTACTCGCAACCTTACGCGGTACGCTTACGCGCCAATGTCGGTGAAGACGACCCCGTTGTTGTTGCGTCGCTCAACTGATCATTGGATGCCATACCCTTCTGGCCGAGACCGACGAGATCTGCCGCTGCCGATGGTGCTTCAGACTCCAGTCTCGGTCGCGACTGCTCTGCTCCAAGATCAGTCACGCCCGATTTGGGAATCGGTCGCGATCGGTCGCGACCGATTGGGAGGTCCGATCGGTCGCTATCGCGACCAGAATGATATGATGTGCAATGACCTCGGCCTTCTGATACTATGTGTCCCTGCGTCTCCTAGGAGGCCCGGGGGAGGGCTGGAGCTCCTCTAGAAGAAGCAAAACGCAATAAACATAAACTGTTGGCGCGCCACGCGGATTTCTTGGATCTGCGCTGGAATACCCTCCCTGGCGCGCGGAGCGCGCCAGGGGCGGCGCTGGAGGCGCCGCCAGTGGGGCACAGGTGCGGGTCCAAGAACTCCGCGCGGAGCGCCAAAAGTGTATGTTCATGGCGATTCTTCTTTTTCTTCGAGCCACGAGCCTGCACCTGATGTGCTCGCCGTCAGAGACCGGCCCCAAGAATGTGGGGGCGTCGGCAAGCGGTCAGTTCTATATATATATATAAAAACTATGGATTTATTGTATGAGTAAAAAAATATATGTATGTTAAAGAATAAGCACCTATACATATATATATATATATATATGTATGGTGTGTATATATATATATGTATATCCGCCGCCCGCCGAGGCCAACGAAGCTCAATGCCCCACCTCGGGACGAGTAGCTCACGCGAGGCCGGCAACACCACGGATCCGAATCATTGGATGCCAATGTTTTCGATCGCGACCGGTCGCCACCGATCGCGATCGCGACCGATACCGGAATTTGCAGCACAATCGGCACCGTGAGGGCACTGAATGAGGAATCATTGGATAAGGAATCCAGGATATGAAAGCCGCTGGCACACGAATTGAGGCTTGGCCATGGATATCCCAGCCGCCCCCATCAGGTAAAGACTCCTTCGGGGTCTGCAGCCTCCTGGGCACATTCCTTAACAACCGCCCCCACCATAGCGACCGATCGCGTCGGCCGCGACCAGCACAGAATGCCATCCAGTGATTTGGGGACGGTTGCGCGAGGCTCGAAGAGGCACCAGCCCGTCCACGGGATGATCGGATCGGCCGAGACGGCCTGCCGCGCGACGCAGAGTCCCCGGTGCGCGCACCGGGTCCACCGAATCGGATCGGCCCGCACCCCGCGCCGCGCGAGAACCGATCCCAGATCTCCAGCGAGATGGTTGTTCGATCTGGGTTGTTTTTCTGGTACATCGGCCTCCTGGGCCTTGTTCGGGCCCCCGGACCATCGTACAAATAGATCCAGAGCGACCCAACACCCCTGGGGAAAAAAACAAAACCTATAAAACCGCACATTGAAGAAATCACATCGTCGGATGTCTGGGGCCAGGCGGATTCCTGCCACCACGGGTCCGCTCCTGCGTCCGAGGCGCTGGCCACTGGCGGTGAGCGCGAGGGACCCGTTGCCGAGCGGGTGGAGCGTGGCCCTCGCCTGCCTGTCTTGGCCCGGCGATCGAATGGGGACGTCCACCGCGTGGATCATCCTGGCGGGACGTCGTGGAGGGCAGATAGGGGGAAAACAAACCTACCTCGCTTTTTACCACCCTCGCTTCCAAGAGATACCAAACGATGCCAAACTACGGCCTGCGCTGGTCAGGCCGCATGACGAGGAGGAGCGTGGTATGACTCGGTTCTGCCTGGAAGCGAAAGCGGGGGAGGCAATTCACGCTCTGAGCAGAGGCAGGACAGCCTTCGCGGAGGAGCGTCGGTTGGCAGCGGCCTGCAACAGAAGTTCTGTCACAAGGAGCCCCGGATCAGCACCCGCGGGGAAGACCCATGGACTGGACGACGCCAGGCGTGTACCAGGACAGGCTCGATGCACCCCGCCGCGCGTGCCGGCACGCGCGGAAGCGTGCTTCGAATGGTACACCGTCGGCGTCGTCCACATGGAAAGACTCAAGGAGCATCGAGCCCATCTCAAAACCAAACGGGCAACTGTCTCAAAATATTGACGGCAAGCCACCCAACTGCGCGCTCCGCCCGCCGCGCAGGAGGAGGAGGAGGAGGAGGAGGAGGAGGAGGAGGAGGAGGAGGAAGAGGAGGAGCGGATAAGTGGGTGGATGGATGGATGGATGGATGGATGGGTGGAGCATCATCAAAAGAGGCCCTGGCGACCGTCTGCGCGCAGACGATCGCCAGGGCCCCAGATGTCTTTCAGAAGTGTCCCGCGCCACCGCGAGCACGCCGCGCAGACGACGTGGCGACGAGAGGGGGGGTCCCGAAGCAGCCCAGACAGGCATCCGACCGACCCTGGCCTGCCCAAGGGCAAGCCAGGGGGCGGAAGCCACCCCCGCGGGGACAAAGCGGGCACACCCCGCAGCCGTCAGCGGCCGCCCCCACACCCCGACGAGAAAACGCGACGGCCCCCCAAACCCACGCCGAGGAGTGCCTACCAAAATTTCGAGACGGACCCAGAAAACCGAGCGAGGGCCCGCCCGAGCGCTCACATCCCGCGTGGAAGGCGCCAGCCTGGCCTCCGCGGCGAGGCGAGCCCGCTTAGCCGCCTTCGCCTGCTCCAGCCCCCTGGCCACGTAGGCGACCTGAGCCTCGAACTGCTCGCGGTCTGCGATGGCCCAGGTCTGGCACGTGTGCCGCTGCAGCACCGCGAGGCGCCGCCTCCCGCCGACGACTGTGCGCTCGTCGAACGGGTCGTCGGGGGCGGCTTAGTTTAGGCCGTCTGGGGCCGGCACCGGAGGGAGTACTCCAGCACCTCGACGCCCTTCGTGTCGCCCACGCCGTCGCCGATCTCCTCCGACTCCAGCGCGTGGAAATACACGTCGGCCTCCAGCGCCGCCGCCTTCACGATGGCAGCGCTCTTCCGCCTCCTCCAGCACCTCGCCAACCTCGCCGCCGTCGACGTCCTGAACCACCTCGCTGCGCCCACGAAGGATGGCAGCCTCGTCTGCCATCAGGTAGCGCCCGACGACTCCGAGGTCCGCAGCGGCACGACGGGAAGAGGATGCCGCGGAAGTCGTGCTGCACGCCGTGCCAGGGCCGCCGAAGGCCGCGCCTGGCTCGGGCGCCAGCTCGCCGACAGACCCGCCGTGGGACAGCGCGCGGCGGACGCTGGGCACAGAGCCGACGCCATCCTCGAGAACGAAGGTCCCGTCCACCACCTCCTGCGCGTCGAGCGTTGCGGAGTCGGCGGCGTTGAACGAGACGCCCTCCTGGACGGAGTGGCCCGCGTCGCACGCGCCGTCGAAGGAGGACAGGAGTGGCTCGGCGGCAGCGGGTTGAGCGCGGGGAACAGCGCTAGCACCAGCACCGCCGTCCTCGCCCCAGCGTGCTCCCGACGCCAACGGCAGAGGCCTCGGCTCGGCAGCACGCCCCATGCGCCCGGCCAGCGCGAAGACGGTGCCTGGCGGCACGCCGCGCCCGCGGCGGCGCGCCAGGGTCCAGTGGAGCGGCACCGCATCGGAAGCCGCGCGCGCGGACGGCACGCGGCGGACGGGCGCCGCCGTTGCCGTCGGCGGCCTCCTTGCGCTGTACCGCTGCTCACCAGGATGAAGACCGGCTCCAGCAGGGCGGCGAAGAGGGAGGCGGGCGCCGTTGCGTACCTCAGATCCTCGAGCGTGCCGAGGCTGACCTCCGCGTCGGCCCAACCGTGCAGACCTCAGCAGGCGATGCCTGGCACCCCGCTGGATGCTGTTGAGCTCCGCCTTGCCAGCCTCCCGGATCACCGCGACGGCGGTGCTGAAGACGTGTGCCGCCGTGTTGCGCCGTTGCTTGCCCAGCGTCAGCACGCAGGGAGAGAGCACGCCCCCGCTGCTCCGCGGCAAAGCAACAGGCGACGATCGGCGCATCGAGGGCCAGCCGCCCGACCAGCTCGCTCCTCAGCTTGTCGTCTGCCTCCCCCGTCGCGCCCGCGCCCGCCAGGGCCACGGCCTGCTGGGCCGCCGCCTCGTGCACCTCCAGGGTCTCCCTGAGTTCCGCCTCGAGCTGCGCGACTCTGCGCTCGAGCGCCTTCACGCGCTCGAGGGCGGCCGATTGGCAGCAAGCAGCCGCCCGGCGCGCGGCCGCCTGCCTGGCGCGCCGCGCAGATCAAAGCGACCCGCCGCCGTCGCTGGGCTGCTCCGCCGCCTCGGGGGCGGCCAGGCAGCTGACCGCAGCCGTCTCCCAAGCTGGTCTCAGGGGCAGAGCGCGTGGCGGACGCGGCCGAGGCAGGACTGAGAACGGCTTGAGCCAAAATGGCTACGGAGGAGGGGGAGGAGAAGGGGGAGGAGGAGGAGGAGGAGGAGGAGGAGGAGGAGGAGGAGGAGGAGGAGGAGGAGAGGAGGAGGAGGAGAGGAGGAGGAGGAGGGAGAAGGAGGAGGAGGAGGAGGAAAGAGGAGGAGGAGGCGGAGGAGGAGGAGGCAGAGAAGGAGGAGGAGGAGGAGGAGGACCAGGATGAGCAGGAAGAGGAGGAAAAGGAGGAGGAGGAGCAGGAGGAGGAGGCCACACTCGTGCTCTCGCGACACCCACCGGAGAAGGGCAGTTCTCCGAGCCTGGCAGCGGCGCGCGAAGCGCTGCGATATCCTCGCGGCCCCCCGGCGGGTGGCCTGGGAGATAGACAGCCTTCAAGCGGGAGGGTCCGCTGCCAGCCACGGCGGCGACGAGGTCTTCCTCGCTGCCGTCTCCGTCGGTAGGTGGCGACCTCCGATCCATACCCCCACAAACCATCGACTCTCCTGGATCGATGGGAGGCGGGGGTAGGGTTCGGATTACGCCACGTTCTCGACAAATTTCGAACCCTACCCCCCCCCCCGCCCATCGGGTTGCCTGAATTATTGAACGGCGAGGGTCGGGTTTGGATTTCGCCGCCGAGTCTGTGCAGGGTTCCCTCATCAGCGTGGGCCCTCCTGCGGCAGATGAACGTAAGTATCACGCACCTTCGAGCCGGCGCAACTAAGGGGAAGCCATCGGCTTGGGCGGCAACTCGACACCTGGGCATCACGTGTTGACCGTTTGCGACTTGGCTAAACCACGACTCAAGCCAAGCCACGAGCAAGTCCGTTCGTGTGCTCGCTTCAGGATCTGAAACAAACACATTCGAACAAAACATACATTTCCGGAGGTCCACGCGGATTTCGTGGTTCGGTGCTGGGCCCCCACCCCGCCAACCCGCCCCCAAATGCGTTAAGACTTCGGGTTGCGCACTGGCAGCCCCCCCAGTAGTCCTGGCTGGCCTTCAACAGGCCCCCCCTAGTAGCACACCGGGCGGTCCCAACATCCCAACCATGGGGCGCGGAGCGTCACGGTGCTGAGACCGCCTCGAGCTGCTCGGGGGGCCTGTCGAGGCCAGCCGGGACTACCTGATGGGGCTGTCTGTGCGCAACCCGAGGCCCCTTACCACCCAAATTCAGGATCCACCGGAAAGGGGAGGGGACCCTGAGAGGGGGCATGAGTTCGATCCGCTGGTGCACCGAACTGCCGCAAACAGATGCCCCCCCACATGCCCCACCTATCGGCAACTATCGGGAGCTGCCTGCGGCTCGGGGGCATCTGTTTTGGGCGGTTCTGTGCGAAAACCGATCCCACTCACACACACCCCGGGGCGCACACACACCCTCTCTGGGATCCCGACAAGTGTGGGCTTGTTCCCTCCAGGATTGGGAGCACGATGCCCGGAGCCCTCCATTGCGCGCGAGCGGCACGGCTCCTCGGCCTCACCCAGCCGTGCAGGTCGTCCACGAGCGCGAGCGAATTGTCCTCCAGGCTGAGGCACACGTGGCGCCCATCGGCGGAGGCGGCGATGTGTCTGAGGGAGGCCGGGAAGCGCGGTATGAACTTCTCCGCACCTGGCGCGGGGAACCGCAGCATGAACCCCAGAATTGGAGGAAGAAAAACAAGCATAAACAAAAACATTTGGCGCTCCGCGCGGATTTTTGGGATCTGCGCTGGACCCACCGGAGCGCGCCAGGGGCGGCGCCGGAGGCGCCGCCAGGGGGCCCCAGCGCGGTCCAAGAAATCAGCGCGGAGCGCCAAAAGTGTATGCTTATGGCGTTCTTTCGCCTTCGAGGCATGAGCAGACAAACGCGGAGAGGAGGAACCTCGAAATTCCGAGCTTTGAGCTTCGAGCTGCCAGAATCGGGGCTCTTGGGGCCTCTGTGGGGCCTCTCGTCGCCACGGCTGGACTCGCCTCCAAGTCCTGGTCGGAACGCGCCCCAGGAGAGGTCTATAGGGGTAGAGTTCGTTGACCCGCGGGCCCAGAAACCCGCGACAAAAATACAACCATGGGTTCTGCCGGCCTCTGCGGACTCGCCGGGCCCCTGGGACCGTCAAACATCAAAAATTGTCCTTGGGGAATGGGTCAGGACCTCGAGGGGTCGACGTTGCGAAATGACGTCGGGGCTCTGGGGAGCTCCTTTTCAGTACTCGCGACGACGCCACCCGTGATAGGGGCCGCACCCCGTCCTCCCCCACCCTGCCCCGCCCTCTCGGGATGATTAGCAATAAAAGGACCCCTAACCCATTGGGAGGGGACCTACGTTAGGAGGGCAAGACGCATTAGGGATGGGGGGGGGTCTCTCCGCAGAGGCATCGAACCGATACCGCCCAGATCGATTTTATCCCTGATTCGAAGACGGGGGCCCCAGTGAGGCTACGTCCTCATCGTGCTTTGAAGCCCAGGGGTCCGTTGATCCTCGATGGTGGGACGTCGCACGCTGCGCGCCTGGACTGTCGGGGCATGGCCACGGGCAGCTCACTCCCAACCGGCGCCAGCGCAGATCGGGGCGCTGGCGGGCCCCCTCCCGCCCCTCGCCCCCCCCCCCCCCCCGGCAACGCCCGCCATCGCCAGAGGATAGCAAGAAAACAGGCGCCAGGGAAATCGGCGAGGCTTGTCGCTTGGCGGTGCTTGGCTCGGCCGAAGGAAGTCCGCCGCGCGCTGTTGGTGCCGCTGCCGCAGAGACTGCGCGCCACAGGTTGACGCGGCTCCTCCAGGTGCCGCCGCGCTCCGCAAGGTGGGAGGCTGGGAAGGGCTCGGGACGTTGAGTGTCGCGCCGAAGCGTGGTGATCCATAGCCGGCCGAAGTTCCAGACCGTACGTTGCCCTGCTCCCAGAATCTGCCGGTCACACAGTCACCTCTCTCTCTCTCTCTCTTTGTCGTTCTCTTTCTCTTGTTCTCGCTCTCTCTCGCTCTCTCGTTATCTCCATCTCTCGCTCTCTCTCTCTCTCTCTCTCTCTCTCTCTCTATATATATATATGTATAGATACACATGTTTACACGGTCGGGAACGTTTGCGTATTACCGTCATCACCATCATTAACAGCATGAACATCATCATACTCGTCGTCGTCATCGTCATCGTGTTCGTCAGCACCATCATCACCATCATCACCATCAACATCATAACCATCATCATCATCATCATCATCATCATCATTATCATCATCATCATCATTATCATCATCATCATCATAAACATCATCATCCTCACCATTGTCAACACATCGTCATCGTTGTCGTCAGCTTCTTCATCACCATCACCATCCTCAGCAGTGCCCGCATCAGTATCACCATCAACATCACCACCAGCAGCATCCTTACCATCCTTATCGTTATACGCAGCATCACCTTCGCCGTCCGCAACAGCAGCATCATAATCAATTTCATGATCAGCATCAGCATCTTCAGCATCACCACGATCATCTCCATCACCAGAATCACCACCATCATCATGAACACCACCACCATCATCATCATCATCATCATCATCATCACCACCACCATCATCATCAGCACCATCACCATCACCACCACCATCATCATCAGCACCATCATCGTCGTCATCATCATAGGCATTATCAACTTCAGCGTCAGCGTCAGCATCATCAGCAGCATTTATCAGCATCGCCAACATCATCGTCACCAGCATCATCATCCTTATCATCAACATCATCATTCACAGCAGCATCATCATCACCTCTCCGCTCACACTCCTCATTCAAGGATGATCTCTGAGGCCCTCCTCGTCCTTCTCCTCCTCCTGATCCTGGTTCTTCCTCCGCGGCTTCCTCATCATGCTCCCTCCTCACCTTGACCCTCCATCCTCCTCCTCCGTCCTCCTCCTCCTCCTCTCGCTCCCTCTTCCACCCTCGTCCTCTGTGTGTTCCTCCTCCCTTCTCCACCTCACTCCTCATCAACCGAGATCGATCTGCGACTTTCTCCGCCCTCCCACTCCCTCCCTCTCCCTGGGCCCAGAATGCTCAGGAAATCCTCCTAGCCGACGCTGTAACCAACAAGCAGCGAGCCAGAACAGAGGCCGACCGTGTCTCGGATGAACCGTGCCTTGACGAGTTGCGTGTGAAGGCTTGGGCAGGCCAGGCGTTCTTCGGGAACTCGGCTCCGCGGTTAGTGTGGTATTTCCTCGCTTCTAGTGCGGGCCCGCACGGGCTTCTGGAAAAACCAAACGTTCACTAAACGTGCCTCCCTGCCTCTCCAGAGCCCTCTGGAGCCCTCCGGGGACCTCCGGAGACCTCCGCCTCTTTCGCGGAAGCCGTTTCTCTTCAGACTCGGGCCAGTTCACTTGCATGACAGTCCTCCCCCTCCCCTTCGCCTCCGCCGCCTTTTCAAACAGGTGAGGACCGAACAGGCGCGACGTGATTCCCGATTTGCGTGAAGTCCAAATTTGCTTGCGGGCCTCGCCACGCCCACCCCTCTTCCATGCAAGTAAACCTGCCAGGATCTAAAAAGAAAGTGCCTCCCGTTGTTGGACCTTTGGGAGGCACGGCTGGAAGCGGCTAGAAGAAAGGGTCCGGGTAGACCGCTGGAGGAGTCAGTGCTATTCGACTTGGGCTGACGTTGGTCGAGGACGCCCCTCTTGCCTGCGCAGGCAGCCCAGCTTCACGCTCTTGCGAGGCCACCCTGGAAGCCACCAGTACCCCGCCTAGAGCACGAGGGGCGATTATCTGCGCGCGGTCCCCACAGAAGATTGGTGACACACAACCGACTCGTCAGAATCGTGGACGCCCAGCCCTCTGTTTTGTTGCGTCAGGCTATGCAGAGAGGGACAAGGCGCTGAACAAGAAAGTAATGACCGCGTCTCCAAGCACCGTTCTAATACACCAGCAGGGCAGACCGTCAACTGCATACAACATGGGCGCACCCAAGCAGCACGAACAATACGTCGATGTCTGCGGAACAGCGTACATGTGTACACTCAAGCAAGCTTTGCAGTTACAGTTGCCAACACGCTGCCAAACCAATCAACTACTTGGCAGGGACCAACAAGAGCAAGCTCTGGCACGAAGGCAGCCACCGCTTAGCACCAAAAAATAAATCGTGGGCCCCAGAACATCCCACACTGCAACGGCGTTGGTTACCGAATACATCCAACACGATTGAACACAACAACGCACACTGAATTGCAACAAGCCCGTGTAGAACTGTTGCTGCGCCTGATACTCTTGCAAGTTATCTTGTCCTGGATCTTCCAACCCGCTACTCGGCTTGATGTGGAGGCCATGATGTACTACTGCTCAATTCAATGACATTTTGCACAGAATCCATGGCCGATGGGCGCAGCCAGAACAATTGCATTCCACCAGGCCCATGTGGAAACCAGCCCGTCGGCACAACTCAGACGAAATACGATACGATATACCCGACGCTGTAAACAATGCAGAATGTTACTTCGAGAAGAGCTGGTTTGCCACGATACCAGCATTCACGGACAGAGGCCATGACACCATCAAGCAAACAAAGATCGAGTTCGCTTACACACAAAAACAAATGCTGGCGCAGATACGATTGGCAAAACAACGCGCCAACGATCATTGCTCCCGAGCTGGTGGCCTCTTCATGCCTAACCAATCGACGCCCAATTGGGCAATGTCAGCAATCGATCCTGACTTTTGGTACGACCACTGTGCAATACGCGCGTCCCAGTTCCAAAAAACACAACCGTTACACCGCTCCATGAAGCACCAGACCACCCACGAACTCAACTTCTGGTACGCCTTCTTTAGCTCACTGGACGGGTAAGAGCTCCCGTATTCAGTGCCAGCTAGAGACCATTCGCCCACAATCACACCGCCTCTCTGACGCTTGTGGAACTCCTCGAGTTGCACCATGTCCTGCCAGTACACATGCATAGTTTCACTTGTGTTGGAAGTGGGCTTCCCCACGGTGTATATGTGCGTATCCCAGTAGATCGTGCCATATCTCTCCCGGTCCCCATAGCAATCAGAGGGCCACTTGTAGAAGTTGTAAGTCCAATCGAACAGAATGACAGGGACGGACATAGGGAGATACTTACGCGCCTCCAGGATCGCCAGGTTGTAGTAACTCTTGAGAGTCTCGTGGATGTCGTCCTTGTACTTGTTGGGTTCGTTGATGACTTGGAGTCCAAATAAAACGTCTCCCCACTTTGCAGCGTATTGTGCCATTGTCCCCACTGCCTCTACCGACTTTTGAATGTTCCACTCTGTCCCCCAGCAAGGCTTGGACATGCAGATGCCGCCATGGTCTTGGCCGTTGGCCGATCCAGGAACCGCATGGAGATCGAGCCAAATCTTGAGTCCGTTGTTTTTCGCCCATGCGAAAATGTTTTGGAGGTAGGGTCTGTACACGCTGGGCGCGAGGGTCGTCAGCACTCTCATGCGTGCCGCCTGCTCCGGTGGAGCATTCGGGGCGAGATCCCCTTCATACGTGATCCAATTCCAATAGCCCGTCGGCACGCGAACCACCTCCGCGCCTTGCTCACGCATGTGCTTGAAATCGTCTTCCCGCACCGTTTGGTCCAGCCATTCCAGCATCCGCTCTGCAAACCTGGCTGTGCCCAAATCCGGCAGGCTCAACTTCGGCGTTTGGGAATCGGGTTCGCAGCCCTGTGGAGCCACATCCTGCCACAAAACGTTCTCTCTGCGAGTGCCATGCGACATCCAATGCTCAGGAACAAACCGATTTCCATAGTTCACTCCGAATGTCGGCAGCTTGTTCCGCAGGAAAGGCGGGACCCTGGCTTCGGCCGCAAACGCAGCTGGCGCGCTCATGTCCACGTGTGTGACCATGCTGGTGTCGCCATCCGTCAAGGCCCTCGTCCTGGACTCGCCGAGCGCATCAACGTGCAAAACATCAGGAGGCCTCATTTCCGTCTGGGGCTGCTCTGCGGCCGAAGTCTTCGGCAACTGCGGCAGCTGCAGCGGCTGGAAAGCCTGCATCGCCGCCGACGCGAACTCCTCGCCAGAGAGGCCGCCGGGGAACGCGATAACAACCTGAGACGAACAACGAAAGGCCTACACATGAACTTCGGGAGGTCCGCGCCGACTTCTTGGATCGGCGCTGGACCCCCCTCCATGGCGCGCGGAGCGTGCTAGGGGCGGCGCTGGAGGCGCCGCCAGGGGGCTCCAGCGCCGATCCGAGAAATCCACGCGGACCATGCCAGTCTTTATGTCCCGAAACCTCTGCGAAGCGCCCCATGAACTCCTGCAGGAGCACCTCGCCAAAGGCCTTGCCCACGCTGCCCGGCTTGTTGCAGAGCACGCCGCAGCCCGCGTCGGGAACCACCAGGCAGTCTGCGTCCGTCCAGTAAGCTGCGGCGGTCAGCGCAGCGCGCCACCTCCCTCGCAGCTGCGCCTCGTACCTCTCGGGCACCGGGTGCGCGTCCAACGGCGAGTCGCCCACGAGCTCGCTACAGTTCGGCATGGCGACGGACACGACCGCCTCCAGTCTGGTCGCGCGGTCCTCAAAACCATAGCCCTCGTCCGAGCTCTGCCGGAACACCTCGACGAGTGGCGACAGCACCGCCCCGTCGTCGGGGATGTGGCACTGCCACGCGGACCCGTCTCGCCGGCTCGCCGGGCGGGCCCAGATAGGCGCAGTCACGCGGGCGGCGGCGGCCAGCTTCTCGGCCTGGGCCAGAGACTCGAACAACGTGCTCTGCACGCACATCGCCTCCTCCAGCGCGTGCGTGCCGCCAGATGTGAAGCCGCCTCCGGCACGGTAAGCGGAGGCAGCACTCACAGCGGCACAGTGCCGCCCCTCTGCGCACAGCTCCACGGCGACGCCGAAGACCGCGCCACGCCTCACGGACAGCTCCGTCGGCCGCCCGGCCCACGCCCCGCGCCAGCCCGGCCACGAGCCCGCAGATGGCGACACGACACGCGTGCCCTCGACGCACGCGGACACGTGCCGCAGCAGGACGGTGCGCTGGCCCCCGAGCACGTAGCCGCGGCATTGAGCCGCGCGCCTGGTCACGGCGCTCAGCGCCCTGCGCTCCGCCTGGTCAGGCTCGTCGTCGGCGCTCCTGGGGGAACAATGATCGGGGACTGCCGAAGGTGTCCCCAAGATCCCCGAGGAGGCCCAGATGGCCTCAGGAGCACCCCTCACGATGCCCAGAGGGCCCCAGCGACTCCAAAATGGAAGGCAAAGCTGGGGACACCTGGGGCCGGGACCACTGCTAGAAACATCCGAAAGAAGATACCGACCGCCACTCCCCGCACCTCTCCCGGGGCGCGATCCTGCCAGGATCGCGTGGAGAATCCGGCAGTGGCGACGAGGGTCCTCCAGGACCAGCCAGCCGCGGCATCGGCATCTGGGGACAACGCAGGTGGGGCCCGAGGGGAAGCGAGGTCCTGGACCCCAGGGACCTTCCCCCAGGACCAGCTTTTCGCCCTGAGGCGCTCGCTGACAGTCCCATGGCCTGTGGAACATGGCTGAACCTAAACGGTGTTTTTCATTTTCGTTTGTTATCGTGTTCCCTCGTTTTGTCTTCTTTCCGCCCTTCCCGCAAAACGAAGTCGAACCGAAAAGGGCCCACGAAATCGCCAAACCACCGTTTAGGTGCAGCCCTGCTGTGGAAGGCCCTGAAACGGAGGCTCCCTCAGGATCCGCTCCTAGACGTGCGATGTCCTGATTATTCCAGTAGTGTCAGATGGCGATCCAAAAGAATATGGGGGGAACGATTCACAAAATAGCGTCCGAAGAGTCGGCGTCCGCGTCGCTTCTGCTCCGCCTGGCCCATCGACTGTCCAGGCGCGCGCCCGAGGGGGGTGGAAGGGAACGACTACAAAGTAGGCTCCCGGCCAGGGGACCGTTCTTCTGAGCACCATCCCTGGGCGCCGCCGCGTGAGCACGACCCCGGGTAAGTTCTGGATCAGAGGGAGGATCTCAGATCTTCGACGGAGGCATGTGCGCAGAAAATGGGGGGGGCATGGAGTCTGTGGAGGTATCATGGAGGGTGCGCCGCTGGATCTCCCCAAGGGGGGGGGGGAACGTAAAAGCGCGAGAACGCCCTATAGGTCCGTTCCCGTTCCCGTTCCCGTTCCCCCGTTCCCGCTCCCGCTCCCGTTCCCGCTCCCGTTCCCGTTCCCGTTCCCGTTCCCGTTCCGTTCCCGCCCGGTCGCGTGCCCGTCTACCCCCCCTGCGCCTTCAAGCCGACCCAAGATACGCGAACGGGAACAGGAACGGCAAGCCTCCCACGGCCTCCCCTACTACTACTACTACTACTACTACTACTACTACTACTACTACTACTACTACTACTACTACTACTACTACTACTACTACTACTACTACTACCTACTACTACTACTACTACTACTACTACTACTACTACTACTACTACTACTACTACTACTACTACTACTCATACTACTACTACTACTACTACTACTACTCACTTACTACTACTACTACTACTACTACTACTACTACTACTACTACTACTACTACTACTACTACTACTCATACTACTACTAATACTACTCATACTTCTACTACTACTACTA